AGTTTAATGGCTACAACGAATAGTATTGAAGGATAAGTCCACGTACGGACTAAGACATATGGCATCGCGATATGGGTCAAGCCCAATATGAGCCCGAAAGGTACACTCCCCCTATAAAAGGGGGCTAAGGTATCTCTTTCTCTCATCCTCTACTCATTTCATTACTACACTTTCTCTCCCTTGATCTGAGCACTGACTTAAGCATCGGAGGCCCGACACCGGGGCCACCCACGGTGTTGGGTTCTGCAGGTGCGGAGGCTGTTCGAGTTGAAGGAGCCCGGGTGAAATCTATTCACTTTAGTATATATGAAATAAATAAACTATATTTATCTTTATAGTATTAAAAAATAAAAATATTTATTAAAATTCATTAGAAAAATAAAATTATTTATCAATTGATATATATTTATTTTTAATGTAGTTATATGTTGTAAATTAAAAAATTATTATAATATAACACATGTAAGTCGCACAAATAAAAAGTGGCATACTGAATATATAATAATATATATTTTTGTAAAAGGTATCTAAATTTTCAACTACTTTTTCTCATTAATTTTAGATTTAAAAAAAAAATAATTAGCAAGCACCCGTGTATCAGCAACCGTGTAATACACGGGTGTTATACTAGTATATATGAAATTCCCGAATACGCTGAGCCTACGTGGCTGTTTCCGGTGCTTCAGAATCCTACTTGGCGAAGAATCATGCTTCGTAATTAGGTTTGGACAAATAATATTGATATATTAATAACTAATAATTTAGGTTCGGACATTCCATAAATATTATTTAGCTAACTTAGGTATTTTGATATAACTTTTACTAATATAACCATTTAATTTTTTGTAATTTTATATAGTGAGACACTAAGTGACTAATATATCCCTGACTTTTGATTTGTTTTCTTCAATTAGCTATTGAATTGTAAATTTGTTTTAAAAGTTGATAACTTTTGTATTTCATATCGGTTTTACATATATGATATATCAAATTAATCTTCTTTTGATGATCTTCGATTTGACATCCATATATATATGAAATAAATAATTTTATTTATCTTTATAATAATAAAAAATAATAATATTTATTAAAAATCATTAGAAAAATAAAATTATTTATCAATTGATATATTTATGTTTAATGTAATTATATGTTGTAAGTTACAAAATTATTATAATATAACATAGGTAAGTCGCGCAAAAAAAAAGTGTCATACTAAATATATAATAATATATATATTTTTTATAAAAGGTATTGATATTTTCAATTAATTTTTATCATCAATTTTATATTTTAAGAAAATATTAGCAAGCACCCGTGTAATACACGGGCGTTGTACTAGTATATATATATATATATAACTAGTGTGTGGCCCGTGCGATGCACGGGAAAAAATATTACGGTCGTATTATAAATTAGATATATAAATAACATTGATCATGATCTACCCATTGTTTTAAATGAAACCGGGTTTGACACAGTCCGACCGGATGGACCTAGAACCGGTTTATAATACGCTTGAATAAAATATTTGCTATTGAATCCATCAACACCAGTCAATTGGACTGTAGGATCGATATAATTTTCTAAATAAATTTTGCTACATTTAAAATTATTGTAACTAAAATTACATATTTAAATGAAATAGAGATTTAAATTCTTTATCAATTAGTTAAAACATTTGAATTTATAAATTGTTTATATATTTAATTAACACATTTTATTTAAATTTATTACAAAAAATCCTATATATGTATATTAAAATGTTTATAAATTAAAATCTGAAGAAACCACAAGTGACTTAATAAAATAACTTGATCGTTTCGATGACGGTCCGTTCTGAAAACTTTATATTTATTGTACATTAATAAAAATTATAATAAAATATTATTTTATTGACATAAATATTACTAAAATGATATATAAATATTTATAATTATTAAAATGTTGTCATAAAAGTATTGTTAATATAATTATTTGAAGTTTGGATTGCATCACATTTACGTAATAAAGTATTTTCAATATTAAAATTTATATTTAGGATCAATTATCGATTTGGTCTGGTCAAACTGACACATAACTTAGTCACCTGGGACCAATCAAGTTGTGTCAAGTTTTTTTTACTATCTTAAATATCAACTAAAAGTAATTCAATCAACCTGGGCATTACCCTGATTCAATCACCGGATTTATCCAAAGAAATTTCTTATTTTCTGCAAATTTATTTAATTTTATGAAATAAAATTTTTTTATGATTCATATAATAAATGTCTACACCAAATGATAGTATATTAAGATTATAAATTATATATCTAAAGATGAATTAATTTTTTTTACTATGCATATTAATAATAAAAAGACATAGTAATTTCAAAAAAATTAATATTAATTGATTGATTATCAATTTAATTAAGAATATTTTCAGCTGTCAGTATTTTTTAAAAGGCACAAATATAATGACCGAGATTCTAAGATTTTTGTTATATTTTGAATTGAGATTTGATAAATATAGAGACCGAGATTTTAATGTTGTTCCTTGTTTCTAAGAAAAAAATAAAAATAAAAACATGCACACTTAAAAGATTTTAGCCACATTTTTTAAATATTAAAATGAACTAAAACCCAAAATTTAAGGTAACATTTTAATGTTGTATGATTTTTAAAGAAAATAATAATAAAATTTATGAAACTTACTATTTATAAACTGCATTAAATGTTAACCTTTTTTTTGCTACTATTTTTTTGTAAATAGGTTGTCTCTTTATATACACTAGTGCGTATCCCGTACGATGCACGGGTAAACAATATTAAATACTAATTATAAATAAGTATCGAGTTCGAGTCACCCAATGAAAGACGTGGGGAACTACCATTGATCTTCTTTTAAAAGAGCAAGAAAAGATATTATAAATTAAAGATGATGGTAAAAGATATTAAATAATAATTATAAATTAACGATGTGGGGTTAACATGTCATATAATTTACGGTATATCAGTTTATTATAAACGATATAAAATCATATTGTTCATGCGAATATAAAATTTGTATGTTTAAACAATTAAAAACTCCTAAAATATTATAAACGATATAAAATTAGCTTGTTCAAGAGAACATAAAATTTGTATGTCTAAACAATTAAAAACTCCTAAAATATTATATCAACATATGTAAAATTATCTAAACTTTTCCATATTATTATCAAAAGATGTGAAGTCATCTAAAACTTTTTAATTTTTTCTTGTAAAGAAAATATATCTAAAAACATTAAAGTTTACATTTGTATTGAAGATGTTTTCTGAATATGACATGATAAAATATTATATAAAAGTATCTAAAATATTATAAGCCTAAATAAATACATTATAAAGTCTTTGAAAGAAAATTTACCTAATATATAAAAAATAAATATTGACATGATGTTGTAAATTATGACGATACTACCGTACCTGAAAATTTGAGTACATAAAATTTCAAAATTATTATTATTATTCTTTTGAGTAATTTGAGTACCAAAGATTTCAAAATCATTATTATTATTCTTTTAAGTAATTTGATTACAAAAGATTTCAAAATTATTATTATTTTTTGGTTACTGTAAGTATTATTATTATTCTTTTAAGTAATTTGAGTACAAAAGATTTTAAAATTATTATTTATTTTTTAGTTACTGTAAAAAGAAATTTTGTACTCATAAAATTCCACGCTTTATGTAGATTGATCAATTTTGCAAATAAAATGAGATTTATTTTATATTGAATGGAGACTAAGACATTTTTTTTTAAAAAAAAATGGCCTTTCAAAATTATCCTCTTGATTTTTGAAACAATACATTTGTAATTTGACTTGATTATTGTAAAATTCTGAAACTTATGGAAAAAAATTAAAGAGATGAATTTCAGTTGATTTGAAATTCTTAAACCATTTTGAATTTCGTGTAAATTGAAACCTTATAAATGAAATTTAATATAATTTTATATTTTTCACGAGGTTTGTTAATGTTAAAGTGGCGCAAAATTATTCATGTAAGGTTAGCCGTCCAAGGATAGAAGCATGTGATTAGATATTTTTTAATTTAATTTGAACAAAATTCTTTATATTAGGAAGAGATTTTGAATTAAGCATAATTTTATGACAACTAACATGAGAAGGGATTTTGAATTTCAAATTATCAATTCAAGTTTTAAGGTAATTTTTTCGGCAATCTGATTGTTTGAATAAAAACACAGTTGAATTTTTTATATCAAATATGAGAAAGAATTTTGAATTTCAAATTATATTCAATGATCGAATTTTTAGAATTAACTTAATGGAACCGAATCCACCAATTTATCTTTTATGGGTTTAAATGAACTGTAATTTAATAATTGAACCAAATCCACCAAATAAATGAACTGTAATTTATTTTTTTTAATAAAATAAAATTTGCAATGTAGTACACGACTATATGTTAAAGAAAAGTTTTTTAATTAATTTGTGAAAATGAAAAAGGAACAGCCTAATCTTGCGCAAAAAAAATAAAAAATAAAAAATTACAAACTCCACTTAACAAACTTCACATTTAAATGCAATAATTAATGATCCATGTTTATAAATAAAAAATAAAATAAAAACTTGTTATTAATAGCATGCAATTAATGATCAAGCATATTTGACTACAGTTTTACTTGCCATTTTCAAAAAATGGTAATTCTTTTTATATATATATAGAAATATAGATATATGAATATAGATTTGTTAATTAGAATTTTATAATTATAAAAATTTTAAATATATGGATGTATAAATATATAGTATACTTAATTTATCGTACAAAATTCTCTCGTTTGGGAGCTGCCAATTCTGGCGATTATCCCGTTTGGGACCGTTCCAAATTTTCTGATTGCTGTGTGGATTTTCTGTGAATCCTTTGTGATTTGTGTGTTTCATTGGAAGATCTCTGTCGAATTTGGAGAAATTGCAGTGGTTTGTCATGGGTGAACCCCAAGATAAAGGCAACGAGGAAGACCTAGCTAACCGCCTCAAAGGATTTTCTTTGTCGGCAGCAGAGGCCTTAGTCACAGACATCGAGCAAGTTGATATCCGGCGAAGTTCAGAAGAATGCCGACGTAGTCTATTCGGGAAGGTGGTTGGTGACCGCCGTGCTAGCTGGATTGGTATAAAGCGTACGATGAATAATATATGGAAGCTGCAGAAACCAATGGATATTAAGGAGCTGGAACCTAATTATTTTCAGTTCATCCTCCAAAATAGGGAAGATTTGGAAAAAGTTGCAAGCGGTACCAACTGGATTTATGATAACCAATATTTGATTCTCCGTGAATGGGAGCAAGGGTTAAATAGCCTGCACAAGGGATTCAATGAGTTGCTGCTCTGGGCACAGGTAACTAACCTTCCCCTTGACTGGCTTAGTGCTGAAGTTGGGCTTAAAATAGGGAAGGCATTCCCGGATGTCAAGAATGTTCTAGTTCAAAACATAAGCCCTCATGGCGGTAAGATGTTAAAGCTTCTGGTTTCTATCAACCTCGGCGAACCTCTACCAAGATGCACAAACATTAGGATGGGGGATCAAATTGCTACAGTGGGGTTCCAATATGAGAGGCTTGTGAGTCTTTGCTATTACTGTGGAGTCATTGGACATCTGGACAAAAGCTTCAAGAAAAGGCTTGAAGACATTAAAAATCAAGCTCTGAAAGAGGGGCAATATAGAGAGTGGCTCAAGACTGAAGATATCATACTTGGGACTTATGCTAGTCCTTCAAGTTCTAGACAATCTCCATTTACTAGTCAAGCTCCTGCAACAGTCAATTCAAATAATCCATCAAGTTCAACTGGGCAAATCCCAGATAGCCCTATTCCTATAACAGCCATGAAAAGTTTACAGGAGACATGCCCACAAGATACAGTAGACTCATCCTCAGAGGTTCCTGATCTGCAACCTTCAACTCAATTGGTATTATCTGATCTGGCCACTTCTAATCAACAACACTCCATGGAGATAGTCACCTCTGCTACTCCTATCCAAGAGAAAGACAAGCTAATGGAGATTGAACTCACTCTCCCTTCCATTTCAAACATAACTTCCCAGAAGATTACTTCAATGCAGAAAGGTAATATAGTGACTAGAATGAGCTCCTGGAAAAGGTCTGCAACTAAGGAAGGGAGGCTGCAAAGACAAATGATCCTAAGTCCCTCTCATGAGCAATCCTCAGGATAAAAAAGAGTCAGAGATAATCTTAACTCTCTGGAAGTAGAGGACACAGAACAGTCTGGGAAAAAGATGAAAGGTTCAACCAACAAGGTGGGGGATGCCAGCCTAGAGTGGCACCCAACCCATCAATGCTAGCTGCGGTGTGGAATTGTAGAGGGCTGGGTGGGCCCTCTACAATTTCCCAAATCAAAGAGTCTTTTAGGACTCACCACCCAAGGTTTTTCTTTCTCTCTGAAACTAAAAATAATGGTGCTTATGTTAAATCTGTTAGTAGGAAGCTGGGATTTTCAGACAGACACTATATTGTGGATCCTAGAGGGCAAAGTGGTGGACTTCTATTGCTCTGGCATCAAGATGTGAATATTATCAATGTGGTTTCTAAGGACTTCTACATTGCAGTCAACTACTCTCTGAATCATGAAGATCAAGGCTGGGGTGTGTTTTTTTATATGAGTGCTGATAGAAGAACCAGGGAAGCTCAGTGGATGATTTTGGAAGAAGACAGATACTCCTGGGGTGAAGTGTGGTTTTCTATAGGAGATTGGAACTCTATCTGTGCCAAGGAAGAAAAGAAAGGGGGATGACCTAGACAGGATAGAAGTTTTGATGGCTTTAACAAATTCATCTCCAACATGGAAATGGAAGAGATTGGCATGGAAGGACACCAGTTTAATGGGGGAACAACAGAGATGCTGAGGGATATGTTGAAGAGAAGCTAGACAGAGCTTTTGCTTCTTTTGAATGGCTCAGTTCACACCCCAATGCTAAAGTGCTTAATGTGATAAGAACAGCCTCTGATCACTCTCTCCTTATTCTTAATGCTGGTTCTCAAGAATCTAGATGCAAGAAGAGATTTGCCTTTGATAGAAGATGGGTTTCTAAAGAAGGATTTGCTGAGGTAGTGCAGAAAGCCTGGTCCATACCTCAGTCTGGCACACCTTTCTTCAGGCTCAAAGAAAAAGTGAAGCAGACAAGAATTGCTCTTCTCATATGGAGCTCAAAATTCAAATCTCAAAACCAAGAAAAGATTGCTGCTCTTTCTAATAAGCTTGAGGAAATCAGAGAAGCTGGTAAAGCAGATAAATGGGAGGAATGGGATTCAGTTTCAAAAGAACTTAATGCTGCTTATGCCTATGAGGAGAAATTCTGGGCTCAGAAAGCTAGAGTACAGTGGTTAAAGGAGGGAGACTCTAACACTAAATTCTTCCATGCTTATTCTATGTCCAGAAGAAGGCAGAATGCAATCTCAAGACTTATCACTGATGCCAACAGAGTCTGCTCTTCTAGAAGGGATATTGAAAATCACATCACCACTTACTATTCTTCATTGTTCTCTTCAGAAGGTTCTTGGGGGGGGGGGAGATTCCATGTTGCACCTCATTCCTCAAACAATCTCTGTAGAAATGAACCAAGATCTTCTTAAACCGGTTGAAGATGATGAAATAAAGACAACATTGTTCAGTCTACACCCTGACAAATCCCCAGGTGAGGATGGCATGACAGCCTACTTCTACCAGCACTTCTGGAATCTAATTCAAGGGGATCTCATTGAAGCAGTTCAAAGTTTCTTCAACTCTGGTATGCTCTTACAGTACTGGAACCATACTATAATCTCTCTAGTGCCTAAATGTAATGCTCCCTCATCTCTTAATCAGTACAGACCTATCTCTCTTTGTACTGTGGTCTATAAAGTGCTATTCAAACTGTTGGCCTCTAGACTCAAATGCTGCTTGTCTGCTTGTATTAGTCCAAGCCAATCTGCCTTTATTCAGGACAGGCAACTTCTAGACAATGTGATATTGGCACAGGAAGTCTTTCATTTTCTCAACAGACATAGGTCTGGCAAGAATTTCTTTATGGCTCTAAAGCTGGATCTTATGAAAGCCTTTGATAGAGTTGAGTGGATCTGCATTGAAAAAATTATGATCAGAATGGGCTTCAGTTTGGAGTTGGTCAAGCTTATCATGGTATGTATTACTTTCACCTCCCTGTCTTTTATTGTGAATGGATCTTTGACTGGTGCTATCTCTCCATCTAGAAGAATCAGGCAGGGGGATCCTTTATCCCCCTTCATATTCATTATTGTCACAGAGTTACTCACTGCTCTTATCTCTGATTCATTGGCTAGAGGAGCTCTTACTGGGATTAAATTGTCACAGAATGGCCCAACATTATCTCACCTGCTCTTTGCAGATGATGCCTTGTTCTTTTGCAAAGCTGAAATTAATCAAGCTCAGGAATTGATGAATTTGTTGGAGAGGTACAGGTTATTTACAGGCCAAAGAGTGAACATCCAAAAATCATCTGCATTTTTTAGCAAAAACACCTCTCTTACTGCTCAGAATCAAGTTTGTGCTATTATGGCTGGTATTTAACTGCATTCTTCTACCAGATATTTGGGCCTCCCTCTGGGGATTGGCAGATCAAAATCAGAAGTATTCTCTTATGTCTTAGACTCAGTAAAAGCTAAACTTTGGAGTTGGAAGAATAAGATGATCTCAGTTGCTGGCAAGGAGGTGTTAATTAAGGCTGTCATCAATGCCTTACCAGTGTTTACAATGTCCTGCTTTAAACTACCAACTTCTGTCTGCAAAGACATTTCTAGATTGAGTGCAAATTACTGGTGGAGTAAAGGGGATACTCAAGAGGCTAGACTGCACTGGAAAGCTTGGCATCTTCTCTCAATTCCAAAATCAGATGGGGGCATAGGCTTCAAGGACATCAGTTCTTTCAATAAGGCCCTCATATGCAAACAACTTTGGAGGGTGGTGACTCAGCCTAATTTGCTTGTGAGCCAGGTTCTTAAGAGCATATATTTTCCAAACTGCTCTATATTTGACATTTCTAAAACTCAAAATGGCTCCTGGATCTGGAACTCATGGTTAGATTGCCTGCCTATTCTTGCTCAAGGTATGAGAACTGAAATCAATGATGGGGCATCTACTAGAATCAATGATATTAACTGGATCCCAAGCATTCCCCTTACCAAGCCATCTCTTCTGAGCATTGCACAAGGCCACATCACTTGGGTCAAAGAGCTGATACAGGACAATGGACTCAGATGGAACTCATGGTTGGTGAACCATCTCTTTGGTGAAGCTGACAGCAGAGCAATTCTTGATATCCATACATTGAATCCATCTAAAAAGGACAGGATTTTCTGGTGCTTAGAAAAGAAGGGACACTTCTCTGTCTCTTCAACATATGATTTCTTGATCAAACAGAAAATTCTTCACTTTGATATTCCAGGTAGCAGCAGGAACCTCTCTTGCATTAAAAAAGCTAGAATCAGGACTTGGAATTTGAAAATCAAGAAAACTATAAAGCACTTCATCTGGAAATGTGTGACTGGCACTCTTCCTGTGAAAGTTAAACTGGCCCAAAAAGGAATTGACATTGATGTTATTTGCAGTGGTTGTGGTAGTGCTCCTGAGACCATAGAACATATTTTCTTCCATTGTTCTAGAGCACAATTGATGTGGAAGCTAAGTCCAGTTAAATGGGAAGAAGTGGACTCAGAAGGGGGTCTTTTTAGATCATGGTGGTGGCACTTATGCTCTGTCAACAAGACTAAGGTTACTGAGAAGAGGATCCATCTCACAACTTACCTGCTGTGGTGGTTGTGGAAATCCAGGAATCTCTGGATCTTTGAAGGTATCAAACTTCCAATCCATGTGGTGGTCAGCAAAGCTCACCTTGCCTGGATGGAGTTCAATGATCTGACGACTTTGCTATCTTAATTTGGTTCTGTGTGGTTGTTGGTTGCTTTTTAGGCTTTGTTTTTCTTGTGGTTTGTGTAGTGTTCTTTCTTAGTTTGTTTTGTTTGAGTTTGGAGTGGATAGTGGACTAGGCTTTGAGCAGTGGTCTGTTATTTTTCTCTTTGTCAGTTGTTGAGTTGTCTCTAGGCCACCTTAGGGTGTGTCCTCTCATTTTAGTCTTCTTTTCTAGGTGTATTGGGCAGGTTGCCTCGTTTGTATTCGAACGGTGTTTATTTTGGCTTATATATAATTCCTCTATCGTTCCGAAAAAAAAAAAAAAATGGATGTATAAATATGCAAACCATAGCAATAAAAACTGGAAAGTGTGTTGTACTATCATTTATGTGCTTCTTGTACATTTTTTCTGTTTTTTATTTAATCTTTCATGTGCAGTGCCACAAATGACAATCGGACATGGCCACAATTTTATTCTGTGTTAAGCTGGAATCTTAGCTGTATAAATATTGTCTTTTTCCCCTTTTACCCCTCCACTGTAAATATATATAAATTGTTACTAAAAACAATTATTTTCTATTCAAATTAGTAGTTAGTCGTTCAATTGAACAGTTAAAGCAGTTGTCCACGTGCCTTTTTTAACATATGTATATATTTTTGAATTAAAATATCACATTTATTATTAAAAAAACATAAACAAGAGTTTAAAATATTTCAGATAATAATATGTATATTTTTATTAATAACCCGTTAATTTGTAAGTCGAAAATGCATAAGGTCCAGCGAAAAAATATGAGCATGTTTGGATATGAAAATTTTTGGTTTTGTTTGATTTTTTGGTTTGATTTGGTTAATTTTGAAATGTAGTATGGTTAATTGTTAGTGGATATATTAAAATAATTAAAATTTGATGTGATTGTTAGTTAAAATAATGTGAATGAATGAATAGTGAATTAAAATTGATGTGATGTGAGATTAAAAAAGGATTGATAGATTATAAAATAAAGCTATCACAATCACATCAAAATGTGATAATTTTTATGACGTTACTAATTTATTAAGAAAAATGCTACATTGTCAACCTAGTGTACAACTAGGTTGACAACACAAGTGTAAACATCCACTTGTGTATTTTTTATTTTTAATTTTATGAGTGTTTACACTTGTATTGTCAACCTAGTTATACACTAGGTTGGTTATGTAGCATTACTCATTTATTA